ACTTGCGACGTCGTCCTTCGATCGTGTCTTCTGCAGTTTTCTGCAGTAAATTTCGTTACATCCTACACATAAATTATAGAAACTTTATGAAGAAAACTACACTATATAAATACACACTTCATGATTGACCAACACAACACAATATCTATAGAAACTTTTCGGCTAGGCCCAAAAAAAAACTATTATATAGTAACACCGACTAACCAATTAGTTGTTACTGATTAGTGATTAGTTTATAAAATCATAGATAGTACAAACAACATAATATGATCAAAATTGTTGGTTATTACCATTTAAATTTGATCCAAAATATAAAAATGTACCTAAATCATGTATAAATGTGCACCAAGAATTATCAAAAATTACTTGAAAATTATAGTAATCATTGTTCAAAAAACAACAAAACTGATAAAAATGCAAAATAAAAATTATTAAATAGTTTTGAATTCTCTGATGTATGAGCATGAAAGGGATTTTGTACTTGAAAATCATTGCCGGGAACTTCCCAAAAAATAATGCATTTTGCATTAATAACACTATCACTGATAACATTATCATTAAAACAATGACACCAATAATGGAAAGAAAACAACATTTCTTATAAGAATTGATTCCATATGGAATCATTGGGTTGATCATATAAATAAGTAAATATACTAAATATTATGATGCCTATATCGTTAAAACATATAACTTAGGTACAAGTTATAAGCATTTAAGGTTGATTTGAGCTGAGTGGATTATATGGTCTACTACAAAGGCGTTCTAAATATAAGAGGTCCTAAAAAAGTCGCCAACAATGACAATATTATACCTACCAAGTGGATTATTTTGCACCAACCCGGAGTACATCAGATGACACCGGCCCACTGTACAGTGGCACAGTAGCCCAGTCCGCCCCTGAGCCCAGTGCCATGTTACAACGAATGTCTCATAATAAAGCAGGCGGAAGAGTTGGCAAAAGGGAGCAATCGCTTCGAGATTCTTATAAAATATTTATTCACTTCAACGGCTCTTTGTATAAATGAAAAATAAATTTGAAACAGTACAGTATAATTATTATATCTTAGTTTTTTTATTGCCACGGGTATACTGCAACAAAATGAACGTGTTTGGTGGAGGGGTGTAATGTAAATTGAAATTTGTCGGCTTATTCAAAAACTAAATGACCATACGACGCGCGCTGATTGGAACAATACTGTGCACATGTACATAGTATATCATATGGTAATATAATATAACGTGATGGAAAAGTTTTTTTGACGAATAATTTTCTTATTTCATGAATATAGTTTATCAAATTTGTCTTTGTTTTCACGAAATCCTTCGCGAATTCCATTATCTATACCAGTACGCGAATACAAGTAAACAAACAGTATATGTGAACGAATATACGTATAATATTGTCATATTAAATGTCGGCAAATATCGGCGAAAATCCAGCTCCAATTTTGAGTGTTATTTGAAACGAATCATTGCAAGTACCAATATAATATAGGCACGGTGTTATAGAGTGATGCTAAAATCGCCTATAGCAAATAAAACTGGTATTCTACCTGTGCAGTGTAGTGTGTTTGTTTTATCCTGCTGTTTAGCGGGTCACGGCGTCGAGTTATATTCTCTTAAAATTATAATATTACAATGACGACTACTGCGAGGGTCGTCCGTTTGATAAAAACTCCGCAAAACCGTTTATGATGCATGGGCACATATTATATTATTATATACCCGACATCATAATCGTAGATGATAATATTAAATTAACTGATGTATGCAGTCGCAATAAAGATTTCACAATAATTCGACGGAATTTAATGACCGCGCGGTCCGTTGTGAGGTGATCAAGTTATATATAAATTATAACCTAGGTACTACGTAATATTATGCAGTCGTGTTGTATAAAACAAAAATAGGGTTTGCTTGTATCGATCAAATAATTGTACGTACGTACATCTCATGACCACGATGTAATAAGGCAACGAATAGTGATATAAACAATCATTGTTTCTGAGTTCTGACGCTTTCCATTTTGCTGCAATGAGCGCATCAACGACCCCGTCTTTTTGAAAACGTCGAATTTGTCTTGTAGGTATACACTCGAAATTCGAATACTAAACACTTATTGGTCTATTATTATGATATACTCACAGATGTACAGAATAAACTAGATTGCGACGCGCCACACGTGTTATTGGTTGAAGCTACTGACTGCCATTTTATTCGAGGCGAAATGTTCTTTATCACTCATGTTTATGAGAAAACCATCGTAGACCTTATACTAAGGTATATAAGGTATATAAGGTCTATGGAGAAAACATTTGAACAATATTTGTATTGATTCTAAAAACTATCTACGTTTACTATAAAGTGTATCAACATTAAATAGCTGTGATAAGACCCCACTGGCCTCTTTGTAAATGGCTGATGGTAGCGCAGAACATCTGTTCTGTGATGGTACTCGAAGGCTTCCAGCAGTATTATCACGCAGTTAGCAATCTAGTTTGTTCTATATATCTCTGATTATACTTGTACACTGTATTATATTGTAAATATTGATGTATGTATGAATGCACTTTATATTGATAGTGTGTACACTGTATGGATACTTTTTTTCAAATATTTTACCGGTGCCCGACTGGGCGATTCGTTTAGCAGTAAAACATTCATTATCATATTTTGGAATGTATTAATGATTTCTAACTTTTTTTTTTTTAGACCCATCAGTGGATATTTTAATTACCTGCCTAGTGAGTAGTGGCTATGCTAGGTCTATGTCACATAGGTGTCACACCTACCTAATTGTCACGCAGTTAAATATTTTACTATTTTAGTCAAGTTTAGTTAACGCATCCAATACCTTACTGCAGCCGCCTATTCAATGACGAGGTACGTCTATCATGAAACTATGAAAGTTATTGATGGTGATAAGTTTGCCTCGGGTTCATAATATTATGCACTAAAAAATTAAGGAATAAATATAAAAAATTGAATTAATAAAAGCAAAATATGGTAATAAAGACTTTGTTTAAAAAAATGACTCTTTTGATTTTAAATAATCATCAAACAAGTTACAGCAGGTTGTAATATGTTTATTAAGTTTTTATTTTATTCATTTATTATTGTACAGGTACTTTAATTTCATAAAATGCAGAAAAAAATAATATGATGTATAAAATAATGATTAGTTATGTAGATTTTGAATTTTTCTTTTTTTCTTTAAATCTTTATTTCTACATTTAAAAATATTGTTGGTAGGGAAGTAATTACTTCTATTTTTAATTACAAGTATTTACTTGTGAGTTATAAAATTGTTGTATATGACTAGGCACATTATGATGTAAGAAGTCTAAATATGATCAACAAATTACAAATGGTTTTTTTGCATTTATTTTAATATCAAATATAGTGAACATTTCCTAAAAATATCTGCCGTTTTAAACAGCTCGTATTCATTACAAAACATTTTTCAACAAAAATTAAAAGTGTACAATACTGTTATACAAATGTGTGCAGTTAAATAGTTAATTACCACTGATATTGCATTCAAATATTATAATATATCGATTATTGTAACTTAGTAAAATACTCAATGATAATGTGCAGTGGTTTGTATTTGATAACTTTATATAGTCAATCTTTCTCCAACTCACCACAGCGGCGCCGTGGCTTAGTTGGTTAAAGCGCCTGTCTAGTAAACAGGAGATCGGGAGTTCGAATCTCCCCGGAGCCTTTTTGCGTTTTTTTTCACGAAATGATCGGAATAAAATTTTGCTTTGGAATGTAAGAATAAGCTTATAAAACCGATACAAAATTAAGAAGAAACGTAATTACATATTTTCAAAAACATGAATTAAAAATACGTCAATAGTGTTTTCAAATTAACTACTTACGTAATAATTACTTATATTATAATACAACATGTTGGGATATAATATATTTCACTGTTAAAACAATCATCAAATAATAACATAATATTATATTCTCTAGGTACGATATGCTCAACACGGCGATTTTGGATTCTTTACTGAAACAATATTTATTGTTCAGCTGAAACGCATCATCTGTACGTATTAAGTCGAAAATACATATTAAAATACGATTTTAGCTGGCTGGCCGAAACCAATATTTTTAATAATAAAAATTATAGGTTTTTTAACATTAGAACATTTTGAGGCTAAATATAAAATTTCAAATGAATTAGTTACACTGACTTAGAGTCATTATTAGTTATTCAACTTAAAGTGCGGTTTGTACAAAACATAGTAGGTATACACTACATATTTGATTGATATTTTTAATACTTTCATACATTTTTATACTGCTGAATTTTTTCACACAAACGATATATTTCTTTGATTAATCTTTTTTTGATAAAAGAAAAAAACAATAATATTTTACTTTTAAAAATAGTAGTTTTGGCCAACTAAAATTGGAATGTTTTATACCACTGTGCGGCAGTAGATTTGATCGATTTTCATAACTTTGCCAAGACAAAAAGCTTGCTGCAATTATTACTTTAAATGCATATTAGGTACACACTTTCTGTCACAGCTTCAAATGTTTTAAAATTGAGTTTTTTTTCTGATTTGCGTGCTGTCACGTAATCGGTTTTCACTCAGCTGCATCAGCAAAAGTCCTTCCAAACCGGTGACATAACAACACTGCAATGTTCGAAATTACTGCTGAACGAAAACATGACAAACTATGCGAATTTTAATATACGTTGCGAGCCAATATTTTTTAAATGACTATTTCGGTCACGATGCCCAGTACGATGAGAGGCTATCGCAGGTGGCTTATTACACCTAATCGAATGCGACAAAACAATCGACACCGCCATTACATATTAAAATAAATTATTATCAGTGTTCACGTTCATATTTAATGATAGATATGCGAACGTCACTCGCTTTTATTAAATTGAACGTGAACGAGAAAGACGTTTATATTTTAATGAATTTGAACGATTTTTAAGACGCTCAGTTTTTTTTCAATTTAAATATATTTATTAATTAAAAATGTATAATATTTTCGTCTTAAAATTCCTATTATAAAAACTTTAAAAAATTGAAGGAACGACCAAGTGAACGCATTCATTTTTTCATTTAACATAAACGTGAACGAGTTTCTTTTTTAAGGAGTGAACGTGGACGAATTTATTTTTTTAGTAAACGTTACGAACACTGTATATATAAAGGTATATATTGCATACTTATATACTATCTATATATGTGTACGTATTACGTATAAGACTAGTGATTTTTTTTGTATTCAAAACCCTTAAATTTTGTGTTTTTTATATAAATATCTTTTGAATTGCACAAAGTTACAAAATTATAATTTTTGAGTCGATCCCGTTTTTTTCTTTTGCCGAGTAGAGTTTTTAATTTTTAATTAGGTTCCTAAGTTAGGTGGTTTACAATAATAGAATATTAAAAAGTATTAAAAAATATTCTATTGCCAATAATTATTATAACTTTATACTGTTTATATTATTTTTTCTTGTTATCAATCTTTTCTTGTTTTTATTTATATTAAGCCTCTATTATCTGTATAATTTTATCTGTATTATCTGTATTAACTGTCGAGCTATTATAGTTTTTTTTACTAAAAGCTAATAAAAAATAAAAAAATAAAAAAATACTTTAAATACTTAAAATTGTTCCAAAATTATTTTTAAATAGTTATAAAAATGTGAAAAGAAATAGATTTAGAATTTAGATTACAACAATTTCTCAGTTTTTGTTAAAATATACAAAACATGGATTTATATTATACATAAGAACTTATTCTTCAATACCTCTAAATATGCAAAAATATGCAAAATAAAATATAATGTATCTGACTCTATGTCATTCGAAACGAATTTATTGCTTGGTCTACAATGTGCACGACTCTAAAAGAAAAAATATGAAAAATGCATAAACATCTAATCCTACTTATAAGTTTTATAAACTTATAAACATATTATTCTGTCCACCAACTCACTCTAATCTTTTCAGTCAGCTTTTTTGTTTTATTATTATTTAAAAAAATCAGAAATATTTACAATATGTAATCTTTTTTGTGCAATAAGTAAATACTAAATTAGATATATTTTTTCTTCTTTACTAAAGGCCTTGCCTTGTAGTTGCAAATCTGGCTTTCCATTCTTCTCTATTAGAAGCCAATCTTTTCATTTCTATGTATCGACTACAACCAGCTTGTTTTATCATTTCTTCTATGTATGCTTTCCTCGGTCTGCCTCTTCCTTTATAACCATTTATTCGTCCCTCAAATATGTTTGTCATATACATATTTTTTTAGCAAAATAATATTTCAAATTATACAGTACTTATTATATTATTTATATACAATAAAAAAACATGAATACAAGTGTGGAGCCAGGCATACTGACGTGGAAACCCTCAAACTGTGAAGAGGACATATTTTAGAGCCAGGATTCCAGACATCTGCGTCTTTTAAACTTATAATCGTCAGAAGGGATTTACTGGTATGTATTTCAGGGATAGCTAACTTAAACTGCATTTAAATCCTTATAAAATATTTATTTATTAGACTATAAGATATAAGATAACTAACAAAGCTTTGGTTCGATGTTCGAAATTCGTCATTATATACATCGACATTTAAAATATTTGTATTCGCGAATACAATATGCAGGTATTATCGTCAAAAAATAAAATACATTACAATTTTGAATAATAAGAACCTAAAAACATTTTCAAGATAAAAAAAAATAAAAAAATATATTTTACTGTTGCATCTTGCAAGCATTATGTAAGTCAGACCGGTATAATATTAGGTTACTTCAAATTCTACAGGGGAGAGATATTATTGTAAAATATGTAATATCGATCGATATCGATCTCCGACCGCGCGGAGGAAAAAACCGAGTCACATGTATATAGTACATGATTTGTATACCTACAATACATTTACAATACCTATTATACATATTGCCATATAATAATATTATTGTGTACGCTTACTCGTATATATTATTATTATATATTAAATACCAACGGTATACATTATGGTATATACCTGTTATATACCTGTGCAGGGTACAGAGTCGAGCTCGCGATGTTTTATTCAAACTTCACAACACTCGCGGACGACTGTGATGAGGTTCGAGTCGATACGATTCCCGTGGTGGATGCTTCGATAAATCCTCTGGAACAAATCGGGAATTCGTCTCGATGCATAATTCGCCAAACATAATAACACATAATATATAGGCACACGGCGATGAGAGTGTCGAATAATAAACGACGTGATGGAGCTTTCGAGGTCTGGGATTATATTATATACATGATGGGTGTTCTCGATCTGCGACGGTCGGAAGTTCACATTATTACCCGTCACGTGAACCGAAACAAATAAATAAAACTGCACCAGGGGTGTATTTGAGGGGTGCGACTCCCTTGCAAAGAGTGTTGAGACTTTGGGTTTTTTTTTTGCTGTCGTGCCTATAAAATAGTATAAAATAATAAAACCGTCAGCTGTTTGTATAGGACTTCAGAACGACACGGCTGCAGACGTGTCTCATCGTCTGCCACTCTCAGATAGGTACTACGAGAATTATTACATCCGAGGTGTTGACCGCAAATTATATAACACGAAGGTATACATATAATTGGTATTATATAGACTATAGAGTGAGAATATAAGATAAATAACCAGTTTTAAATATGATTTTATTTTAAACGTATAAAAAACTGTCGTCGTCGTCATTAAATTATTTTAATGCGCCGATTGCGTTACATAAAAGCTGTAAAAAATGATTTTTGGTAATAGTGTTATTACCCATTAGTTCCTGCTCGGTTTTTGACTGTTCGTGTATAATATTTGTTAGTACCAAACAGTATAAAGAGGAATCGAGAACCGACGATGTGTTTTTCATCTGTTATTTATAATACGCGATTTATATGTATGGAGTATATATTATACTGCGTAATATAATAAAGATGTATGGCATATATTGTACATTATATCGACATATCGTATATATTTAATCGCATTCTCGAGTGCTCGGCTGTCACGAGCAGTGAGTATTGAATTAGATTAGATTATAGGTATATTATAATAATGACCTTTCTCGCGGATCAACGTTTGGCAGGCAGAAACGAAAAGACGATCAAATGACGCCTATATATAAAAGAATACTACAGTGCCCAGCTGGTGCTATTTCATATACATAAAATATACATATACAGTACATTTCGGAGTAAAATACAAATAATAAATTATTGTCTGGCGCAGTAACGTATCATTATTTTAATGGCCCGTGAAAGCCGCAAAGCTCTATATAATCTATATAGGTATACAACATATCATTGCATGTTATTGTCAGTATAGGTACTCTACAAACATAATAATAATCATATCCGTATATATATATACCTACTTAGTCATAGAAACGAAAAATTTTCCGTATTATTATTCACTTACACAAACCTTTCAAAGACTATTATCTGCATGTCTATCTGCAGTGTGTATAACATAATTTAGATTGTGCAATTCAAAGAGTAGATACATACCCCAAAAGCCCCGAGTATAGTATAATATCGCCGTAGAGATATATTCTTTCTAATTTATGACATTAGATTGGCATTTTCTTATATACACAATTTATATATACATCTATATATTATGTATACATAGTTGATTACAGCTGTTGAAAAACCAGCCTCCGAACCTGTTGATTTGCCTCTTTGGCCGAGACGTACACTGATATCATACGGTATACTTTTGGGACGTGCTGCGATATCATCCTTAATAACTGCAGCGAGTCGTGAATTATTATGTAATATCGTCATACCTATTATGCACAGCTGTCGTCGGAATCGTTTGCCGAAATTTCTAAAGAAATGAATCCCTCCCCCCTCCCCCGATCGAAATGATATATACCCATCCACAATATTATTATCATATATACATTTATACGTATACCTAGTGCATATAGTACGCGTTGTTGTCGTCACTCGTCGTCGTCGTCGTCGTCGTCTCTGTACACTGCAGCAGTGATTGCGAACGATTACGTGACTTGACAATAGAAAAATCGTGAAGCACGCTATTTTAAACGGCTGTATTATTTCGACAAGTTCCTCCGGCGTCCGTCACGACGAACCTGTGCAACTGCAGCCGAGACAGTATCTTCCAAAATATGAAGTGTACGCTCTCGATTGTTATGCAAATACGTCACCGCTCAGCCAGTGTCCATTAGCGGTCGAATATAATGTTTTAATGACACGCGTGAGTGATAAAAAAAAACAAACAAAAAATACCTATGAATAATCATGAATTCCCACTTGAACGTCGTGCACAGCCGCGGTGTATCGGATAAATAATAAAAAATAATATCATATAGATAAGTACAAATCGAAAACCTTTTATACTTAAAATAAACTGACTAATTACTATTTATGTTCAAAGTGTGTCAGACATTTCTACAGACAATTTGGTACATATATATACGTTATACGTACAATAGTATATTATAATAGTGCTCAGAAATATTTGGCTGGATGGCCGGGATAATGTTTATCACTTATCCATTTCAGACATATAGAAGATACTCAAAAGTCACAGGTATACCCACCATTAAACGGTATGCTCAAGGGACAATTAACAACTAATAGTTATAATATATAATATGCAGAGTGATTCACCAAGTGACACAAGCATGCTCGCTCCCATTTTTTTTAATAATGAACATATATTCATATTCTTATTTCTGGAATTTTTAAGTACATTTTGTCATTATCATGGAAATACTTCGATTTGTATATCATTTAAAAAGTGCTCTGTGATAACTTATCACTGATAAGTTTTAAATGAAAATCACAGTGTTTTATAAAAATTATTAAGAATATGATTTTTTTCAACATTTTAATATAGCTAAATTAAGTTTCTACTTTTTAACGAATAGTCTAGTGAGTTATTAGAATGCATAGGTGCATATACCACTTACCTTCTAAGGATACTAATAGCCCTTAAAAATTGTTTTACAAAAACATAAAAGATATGTAATATTTGATCTAGCTATGGTTAGGTAGGTATACTCTTATAATTTGTATAAATTATAAAATGTCAACGTAAAGAGTAAAATAATATTAGGTAATTTCTATAATTTTATAAAGCTCATAACCCCCATATAATCCAACATATTAGCATGGACCTATTGATTTGACCTTATATTACACAAATTAAATAACTCAAAAATACTCATTCGAACTCCACATTAGATATTATGTACATCAATACAATTAAAAAAAAAGTCATCTGCTTAACAATTTACATGAAAAGAGAGTGAGTGATTCTCATTCGAAAAATAATAAATTGGCTTACTCACGCAGTGTAGAGTTAAATGGTATAAAATGGTATCTAAGTATTTTGAATACAGTTAAGTAAGTATAGAGATTTTGCGTAAATATAGGTATGTACCTATTTATTATAAATATCCGTAACGCGTAACCGTTAGGTGATATATGAACATGTTTTCTTTAGTAGTAAGTAGTTATACCTGTCAGCTAGTATTTTCTCTTTTTCAATTAAAGTAGGTATATGAAAATATTATGGTCCTTAAGTATACTATACTAAAGTCAGAATTTGGATAAATTGATTATTGAAATGAAAAAAGGGCTTGGTTAATCAATCAGCATAATATTATATTATTATGTTTGCGTATTGAACAATACGCGTTTCGTGTAAACTAGGATTTTTAAGTTTATCAGGTATATACGATATCTAATAGATTTTACATTATGATTGATAAACATAATTCGTATTCAGTGGCTTGTAAAAATGTAACGGTGTTTTTACGTAAGATTGCCTGTGGGAAGGACGGCTGGAGACCCACTTATAAATACTTTGAGAATATAATTAATTTTTATATCGTTATAATTCTGTTATTAAAACGTATAAGTTGATCATTTTTGTTAACTTCCGTCATTCATTTTATTGAATAACATAACATGAAACAATAATTATTACGAAAAAATATAAATGTACATGCAATCATAACACGATTGCGTATAGATTTATAATATTATTATATAGGTTCGATGACAGTAAAAAGTATGTTTTGAAAGTTTATAAATTTGTTTTTATAAATTCTCATTAAACGATAATTTGTATTCAATTAGAAAAATAGTTCAACATTAAAACGATAAAAGAACAACACTTATAACAGTTAGGTGTTAGGTATTAATTATTATTTTGTATTATTAGTAAATGTTTTATTTTATATATATATTTTTTTTTTTTAGATTAAGGCTTCAACTACAAAGGTCATTAGCCTGGTAATGTCTGGGGGAGGGACGGTTAGTTGGAACACCAAATGTTGTATGTATGGCAAGGATGTATTGCTAAAAACGCGGATGGTCACCCATCCGAGTGCTAACAACGACGGCCGATAAGTACGTTCAGAGCGCTGCCGTATATTGAGCGTACGACCGCTCCTCGCCAAGCCACTTATATTATATTATTAGTACAATATTACAATAGTATCTATTATTCCAAATTGAATAAAATAATAATAATTTTTCAAGTATCTGCCTAACGTTTTTACAAGTTGAATTAATGGATTTTAAAACCCTTTATGAGCCAAGTTTATGATATATAGTATATAATTTAAATGTTTATTTATATGACTTATAGGACAACATTTAAACAAAATGCCATCCAATCCCTTTAGAAAATTCCTAAATAAAGACTTATAAAATTATTATATACCACCGAAAGTTATAATATTAAGTGAAAAATTAACTATCTACTAACCTACCCAATATATTTATATTTTAACATTTAATATTAAATGTTATTACTTTGGGTTAGGTATGTATTGTTGTCTGTTTCACATGACTGTGTATAAATAAACATACAGAATATATCTGAAGTTATATAATATTAAACTACATACTACTATAAGTACCTACAGTAGGTATAATATTTAAAACTATTAAAACCTAATATTAATTTTAATCTTATATATAACAAAGAGTCAGATGTTCATAATTTAGGTATCTGTACATGGCTCTATACAGATTTACTTATATAAATAAATTATCAATGCTCTACCACCATGTTTACAATATTATTTCATTTAGAACACGAGAGTAGTTAGTCTAAATTATTTTCAGTGACAGATTTGTGTTTATACTGTATATATTAGTAATAAATATATGTAATTCTTCAATAATGTTCAATGGATTAGAAAAAATACGCCATAAAATATTTTGGTACGTACAGTTATGAAGATAATGATAAATATATTATGTATAACTTTTATTAAAAAGTACTATAGTACCCATACTTACTTCAGTATTGTAACCTATAGGAGGAGGACCTCAGATTTTCAAAAAAATTTAAACCTGCTTTTAGTGTTTTGTGAACGTATTATGCGAGATGTATTAAAATAAAATTGTAATCTGTGTAAAGGTTTCTCCTTGAATCTAAAATGTTTTATGCAACCGGCATCAGCATCGCAAACTAATGAGAGACCATACACCCTATAAAGCCTCCCCGGTATAACAAATCATCGACCCCCCCCCCCCCTTCACGATAAATCTTTGCTGCACGACTGGTATATAGCCTATATGAGTACCAATATACAGTTTAATATAAAGTAGTATTATATACATTTGAATTTAAATTTAAAAAAAACATTTTCATCTAGATCATTATAGTAGGTATGTTTCGATGTATATTTTAATAGGTAATCGTGATCATTTCTATAAAATTAAAAAAAATTAAAAATTATTAGACTAGCAATATCAAACTCCGATCCACGAATCACGATATATATTAAACATTAAAAATATACATATTTATGTGTATTTAATTTACAAGTAAGTATGTAAGCAACAGTATACTTCTTTAAAAAATGTTATTGATTCAATATTCGTAATTCCAGTCTTCTAGAGTTATTTAAACTATAATATGCACGTATACAGACAAAATGCATTTCATGCAGGTAGGAATTAAACGTTCGTCGTGCAAAAAAAAAAATAATAATCTGAACACATACTTGATATCTGTATATTTCCTGTGTTCGTTACATGTTATTTATCCCGGCGATGATCTTCCCGCTGACGAGAACACAAAACGTTTCGCGCACACTGCAGACCCGGCCGATACATTTTTGTTTTAATCTATTGTGAAAATATGTTTCGACACATTAAAATTAAAAGCAGCATACTATTATTATGTTTTCAAAGAACAACTCTTGTGTGGATAAAAGTATACTAAATGTATATAAACTAAAAACAAAACTATTGCTGGACGGTTTTTAGCGTTTTGCCGGTCCGTGAGTCATCGGGACACTGTAGAGGCGACGGCGACGACGACCGACCGGGAAGTGAAGACGAAAGGCGGGCCGCCGCCAGTCCACACACTCTCTTTTCGCCGGTGAAAGTGGTTTGCTGTAAGCAGATGTACCATACGTAATTATAACTGACAACAATCGGAAACACAGCTGATACAGTTTGTACTGAAGGAAGTAGCTAATAAAACATTTTTATATCGATGATTAATTTTTATCTTATTTTATTTTATTCGAATCGCTAATTAAAATAGTATATATGATAATATTATTACATTTATATCCTAGTTTGCAGGTACTTTATTACAGGTAATTTATTGTTTTATGCTTAATAATTACTGATTGGTAAACATTGGCAATAATCATATCGTGTCAAACGTTCTGAATCAGTATAATATCTAATTGATATATCGAATCCAATTTCATCGAAAACTGAAAACGCAAAGCTATAAATTATAATTCGAGAACAACTAATTGAATTTGAACTACTGTCTGCTTGCAATTAATCCAGAGAACCAAACTGGAAATTTAAAATAACAAGGATTTTTTTATAGTGGTGAGGAAATTTGATGTTTCTTGATACAAAACCTGAAATCATACCGTTCGCCATCATTCTATAGTGTGAATATTTGTCATACTATTAAGTGTTAATATACAGACAATATTAAGTCTGTAAATTTAATGCACTGCCAAACCTTCAAAAATGGATTTCAAATTCCAATGAATACACTGAAATATGCATTCAACAAAATAAAAATTAATAAAAACAATTGACGTTTTTAAAGTATAAATGTATATTTATTCATGTAGATTTATTCATATTTTCAGTGTTCATATTGAGTTATGGTTTAGTATTGTATGCATAAGACCATTAGAGTCTCAGAGACAAATCGATCAATTACAGCAATGCCTCTAACCACGCAACAAACGAAAACATTAAAAATTGCATACATACATACGTCATACATGTATACATGTATTAATAATACGAATCATACCATAATACATTTGCATGAAAAACAATGCCTGCTCGTTAATAAAAATATTTAATTTTCTCATAAATTTCCTATAACCAACTACTGTACAAGCGCTTAAAAAAACGATGACCAGAAAAGTAAAAATACAAAAAAACATTGAAAGTTGGAACACGTTATAATATAATATGATATACTTATTCACATAGACATAGTCGTTTATTATCTGAATATCAGAGTATCAGACCAGCAACCACTCACAAATCACAATTCACTTCCAATATCAGACTGTACGTGTGGATATTGAAACCGGAAAACACAACCGGATTTATACGTAATGCTGTGATAAATAAATATATAATGTACTTATCTTATTATGTATCGTTGGCGTTGGTCGCCCGCTAACTTTTATTTCATATTGTGTGTATGAATTGTGTTAGGGAAAACGTAAACAATATATTTAAATTTATTCACAAAAAACCACAGCATATTATATTATGAAATTATGTACCTTCTAGCTTTAAATACAGTTAAAATAGTTGAAGCAATGCGCAAGCAGTTCCGGTAGCGTCGTCGATACCATTGAAAAAAACACAATTAATAACGAAACATGGGTACTTAAAATAATAACAACAATAAGTAATAAACTTTATTTCACCGATAATAGCAATGGTATATTGGTATATACTATATAGTACATATAATTAAAAATATCAGTTTACAATAATAGGCTATTTGTTTCTTAGTGCCTACTTGCTATACTTACTAAATCCTGTGACTGTGATATGAATAGATGCAGTTAATATATCTATCAGTTTAGAATGAGAAATTCAATATCATAATAAAAAAAAGTGTTATTAAATATAAAACATAAGGTTAAAAAATAAACATATTTAAAGAGAATTTTTATAGTAGGTATTAATGAATCTTCTAGAATACGATAATTTAAAGTTATTGCGCAAAAGAAAATAAATAAATTTTAGCATGATACAGATTTTACAGAATACAAACAATACATCAAATTGATTAATACTAATCTTTAATTTGGTAAGATTAGTGCTGTAAGATTTATTATAATATTAATTCTTATACAATTTTAAAATAAGAAAGCTAGGTGAATATACTTATAGAGTTCAATATTGAACTATTATAATGACTGATATTTAAATAAAAGTACTAAATAATAACTCTTGAAATGTATTTGTCCATTCAATTTATTATTATAAGGTACCTTTTATTAATATACAAATTTGAAAAATTAGAAGTATAAAAAAATAATAACTAAGTAACAGTGCAGAGGATAAAGTTTAGTTAGAACGAAGTAGGTAAAGGTATTGCAAAAAATGAAAACAACAAAATGAATTGTTATAAATTGAATAATTTCAGTTAATGGTTTGAACCTTAAATTAATTCAAGTAGTAGTAAATTAAAGTAAATTAAAACTAAAAATTATTAATAACTAATAATTATTAATTTCATTATAGATTTATACATTTTCGGTGACAGATTTCAAATGATCTTATTTTTTCCTGGCGAATTTCACAAAGTATTTGCATAAATTTATTCACTGATTTAAGTTACAACATGTAATCAACCAAACCCGTCATTCGCTGTTAAGAATTAAATGTTAAATTAGTTTTTAATTTTAATGCTAGGCTTTTATAGTATTGGGGAGATATGAATAAATGTACAATTGCACAAATCTCACATTTGATCTATTGTTTATGGTATTTGTTAAGCACCTTTCGGAAATTGTATTTCGTAAGTCTTTTAATGCCAACGACTGCAATGAAAAAATGATAACTAACATATTTTTTAATACAAAAATATATAATTTAATGATAGTGTATTAAACAACATGTATTATTTATACATATCGTACACACGATTGTATAGGGTAACAACGTCTTTGTTATATTGAATATTGATACAGACAACTAGACAAGAATGTTAGTTTTATTATCATAACTATCATCAAAATATATAAACTTGGATTAATTCCATTTCTCGTGGGCCACGATCTTTCAGTAAACATTCAACCGAGAGCATTTCTGAAATGAAAATCATAAGCTAATTTATGATTGATAGGCACTCATATAGGTAGTCATATAGTCATATTGCTTATAATGTGGGGTTACCTATAAATTGTATCAAATAACTGACGCTTTATATTAAATTAATGCTGTATTATTTTAATAATTAATTGATATAATACTACAGCTACCCTACACTAATACTTCGACTGAGTAATTTAATATTCTACTACACTCAAATTAAAGGTATTACTACATTTTTCTGTATGGTTCTGAACAAAGCGATGAGTATAGCGATTTTACTATGTGTGTTTTTTTATCTGTCACCTATTGTAGCATTAAAAACTAGACGAAAAATTTACCAAGTATAATAAGCATTTTTTATTTGGTAGAATTTTAAAAATATTTTGGATTTTTTTGAACTATTTATAGATATTTGAAATACGATAGTTGTTTTTTTCTATAAATGTGAATAAAACATTTTTTACTCGCTCAAAAACCTTAAGAAAATGCCTGAGCTAGCAATGTTTATTTTCTCCCCCCCCCCACACTCGCATTATAAACAAAAATAATTCACGTAAAATCATCATTTTATTTATGTGTTTGAGTTATATTAGAGTAAAATCAACCATTATAAGAACTATAGAGAATAATGTATATCGATTTGTCTAAGAATTCTCTCAAAATAATTTATATTTACAATTGTTTGTTTTAGTTTAAAAGTTGAACACCAAGCAGAATACTAATAAAATATAAAACCGATTTGTTAAGCCTCCATAAAAATGTTATAATCTATAATTTTTTTAGTGGATGATTTTACTCTAAGATTACTAAAAAATCATAAAAAACAATTTTACATAAAAGTATAAAAAAAACTGAAAAACTGAGAGGTAATCTACAATAATTTCTTATATGAGTGTTTTTTAACTTAGAATTTTAACAAAATTTCTTCAAAATCGCGAAAATTAACAAATAATTTTGTTGTTATAATTTCCTAAAATGTTTAATATTCACACTTTACGCTGGAACATTGAATAAAAGGTTCCTATTTTAGTTGTTATTGAAACACAGTAATCTAATAAATATACAAGCACAACTTTTTTTGTAGACATTTAAAATATTTTACAATTTCAAGTATTAATAAGATTAACGATTTTAGTCGTTTTTTTATAATTCAATTTTTTTGCTGAAGGCCTGAAATGTTTATATAATCTATATATTAAAATTAATAATGTATGTCTGTATGTCTCTCATATGCATGCCTAAACGGCTAGACCTATTTTGATGAAATATTTTGTGTGTGTTTGAATGGTTCTCTGGATGATTTAAATTCACAATTGAGTCCGGTAGGTCCAACTCGGAGGGTTCCTCAAACGGCTATTAAGATTTACAAAGGAAATATTTGTTTATAAATGGTTGCTATCGCATGGCCATAGGAGAAATAATTAGTATTTTTTTTAATATTTATTAGTTGCTACTGGTTAATCGAAGCATACATCATACATCGAATTTTCACACATTGCCTACCAAGGTAGCTGAGTTGCATTTATAGCCGCTCTTCAGCGTGTCCGCAATCAAAATAAAATTAAAATTAAACATAATATTCGTACAGAGTTGACATTTTTAATGGGCAACGAAACGCACAGGATCATCTCGTATATTATATTATTAATTATTTATTATGTCTTACATACTAAACATATGACATTTACAAAATATTTAGATTGCTTTTAAGCTATTGTCTATTTATAGATAATGATTAGTGAATTGTGATTACGGATTACGGATTACGTACTTGATTGTTACAGATGTTAGTCAACTGTTGAATAGGTAGTGATATAAGATTCATTCAGTTGTAAACTTGCAATTTTTTCGTCTATAGTTGTATGCGAACTTTTCAGTTTGAGAAATAGAAACCGAAATTAATTTATAACATATAGGTAAACAAAACTATATGCCAAACTGTTATTTTAATGATTGGATACCATTTTAATGCTGCTGAATATTTTTAATTTTAATTAATATTATTATAGCTGGAATTATGTTCCTAAATATCCAAAGTGGCCCAACCCAGACAACTCTCCTCTATGTATAAAAGAAAATATTATGTAAAATTGTGGATTCACTAACCTTTTAATTCTTTTTATAAACTACTTAGGTGTACTCTGGAATACTTAAGAATATTCTGGTATACCTACTTAAGATAATACGCCTTATCACCTATAAGTTATACTTTATTTATAAAGTATATTATTATTTATTATCTTAATTCGTGATCTACCCCGATTTCATCGTTTCTGCCTGGAAATTATCTAGGGAGAAGAACAATTGTATAAATTATAATTATTTAATAATTTTTTTTTACTAGGTAATTTTAATTTTAAAATAAAATATTCAAATATTCAATGTAAATACTATAATATACCTATAATATAGTTTATAATACTCTATAATTAGACAAATTTGACATCGTAATTGTATCATAAGACACATAAATCATAGACAAATGTATTCTGTGCAATGTGCATTTGTATTAACATTTAACAACGACGTCGGATGTAGTCGATGTAGAGAAGATACTTCTACTTCTACAGTTCTACAGTTCTGTTCTCCTCTCTACATCGTGATTCGTGATATTAATTTATGGAGAAAGAAAATGGATAACCTCAACTTTTATTAAATAAGCAGTGCTGCCATAAATAATGAAAAAATAAGAATATCCCGATATTTGGGTGTACTTGGTGATCAATGGGGAAATGATTGGTTCCCCTCAACGACTGTATCTACATTGTCCATGGTTCTTCTATAATATCTTCTTTTATTTATCTTCTCTTAATATGCTTTATTTCCTACTAACAATGTTGGATTCAGTATCAGCCTGCAGCAGCAAGCTGCTGTCCTCTCTTTGTAGTAGCTGCAGTCCATCAATAAATTCTTTATATGTTCAGAGTGGCCGTATGCAACATAAATCGGTAAATTGTATTACATGGCAACACTGATAGCAGTTAGCTCTTATCGTGGTTTTCGGTGTCCAAAACACGGTCTTAGAAGATCTTCTGAGACCGCGGTCCAAAATGTCCATTTTGATTTCACCTATAATTCTAGGAAGAAGTGACCGAATGGCGATTACTCGACAGTGGCTACAACCTTTTCATAGTCGGAGTGGTTTATACGTTATTCGCCCATCATTTTTTCATCCAGTGTGTACGATTCAGTATTGACGGAAATCTGAAACTTGGAACGTTATCAGTGTATTTTAATTGGAAATACTATATTTTGCAGCACCGTTTGGTGGTTTGGTTTTTTTTTGTACATATCGTGAAACGGTGAAACGGTGAAACGTAAACTATTATTATAAGTATAATTTCTATTGTATTTTGTCCGTTTTTTAATCGATTTAATATTAACAGTATTTACTTATTGTTAAATGTTAACTTAGACCTACTGATGGTTTGGACGAAAAACCACTCGATGATTGTTTATTGAACATTTTAACGTAAAATTTTCACTCCATCAAGGATCGTTGGTCTTTCTTGAATCTAAAATGGCGAAATCGATTAATCATTTGATTGTAAGTATTATCTATCCGTATCATATAGTTACAATAACGTACTAAACCAATTCAGCATGGGTATTGTACATAGGCTACGGACTAGAGTAGATATTAAAGCGATTATCTTAAGAGTATTTTATGACCATTGATTAATTACATTATAATTTATTAATCAATGGTATTACCCCTAAATAATAATTAATAAACTACAATTACACATTTTAATATTGCTTATCTACCTAAATATTATGTTATTCTTAAAATTGTATACCTTAATATTTAGTTGTTGTTTGGTACCTAAATAAATTATCTAAATCATTGTACCTAGGTTCAATACTTGAATGTTGATGATTGATTATGTGTATAATATATATTATTAAATACATATGTATGTATTATAAACAGATAAATAAATATAATCATTTTTGTTTGTGGCTTGTCCTCAGTAAGATGTTAATGTTTAGCATATAAAATTCTGGTACCATTCTGTGATTGCTGGAATCAACAAATTATATTTTTGGACTGTAGAATATTGTACATTAATATTCAAGAAGTAGGTTTTAATAACCTACTTCTGGATGTAATCATGGTTAACTTAACTATATAAGTATAACTTTTTGGACCCTACCCCTTGAGCTTACTCTCAAAACATGGAGAAAATGTTAGATGTTTCAAAATGGAGGAAGTAAACTACCATCATGGTGTTGGCGCTGCTCAAAATTTCCCCGAGTCTTATTTGGCAGCTAAAGCTTTGTGAAGAAAAGGATGCTTTTGAAGAAATTTTATCAGATATCTCAGAATTTTGGCCTACATTGTGATTCTATATTAATTTATTTATCGTAATTGTAAATTAAATGCTGAGCTTACAATTTGAATGTAACACACTTGTAAGATGATACAGAAAATGTCTATGCAGCGTCCCATTAAGTGCAGATTGAGGTACTTTTTGGTTATCTCTACTATTAACTGTAGTGTGGATAGATTCAACGTGGTTCCTCGCTCGCTCGGACAATTTTTATTGATAACATCCCTCAATTTGATATGTAAAACCACCTTGGATAGTAAGGGGTAAGGTTAGGTTAAGTTAGGTTACTCTAAGACATAACTAAGATGGGTTTACATCATAACAAATCGAAGGATGTTTTCAATTTAAATTGACCAAACGAGCTCAGTGAGCAAGTTATCCCGCTGAGTCTATATGTTTATATAGTTGGAAGTTGCCATAACTGTAGTGAGGCTTCTGTAATATAGACCAACTTGTAAACAAATTTATAGAAGTCAATAATTTTTCCCAAGAATTTAACAAATTGAAAGAAAATTGTTTAAATGAATAAATAAAAAATAATATAAGCAGGTATATTGATGTGTAAATTGTACTATTGTTTGTAGTACCTACTTATTACAAATGGGTATAAAATGTATTATAAGTAACTAAATAATAAGCTAGTTAGGATACACATATTTATATGAAATAATGAAGAATCATATAACTATTATGGTATTACAAATTATGAATTTCTTATCCCACCTTTACTTATCTTATCTTGTTAAATGATAATTTTTTTTTTGGTTTTAGGCGGACATTGAATACATTCATCAGTTGGTATATGATTTAAGACTAAATGAGCTACAACAAATTTTAGAAGCTGTTAAGCAAAACAAATCTGGTAGCAAACAATCTTTAAGGAAGCGTGTCTTAAACTTGTTAACTGCTCCTGCACCAAAAACAAAAGTTTTGAAACAAAAAATTGTACAAGTCTATAACTCTAGACCACAACAAAACCAACAACATCAACCACCACCGCAGGCACCGGTTGTACAACAACCAAATTTTTTACAGCGTTTTATTCGACAATCTCGACATCCGATTCATAGCCAATTAACAGCGCCAAGACCAAATCCTGTACAACCTTATGTTGAACCCCCAAGTCCAGCAGTACAATTTGAACACTTACCATTCTTTAAGACAATACAAACATTATTAATGCCTATGTACTGTCAGACTAATATTGATTCTGCCAACTTTACTGGACTTTTTTATCTAACAGATAATGTTAGACATTCTATTGTTAAATCGTGGAATATTGCCAGGCAAGAATATAAAATTCAAATAATTTTAAGATTATTACAAGTTGGACTTGATGAAAATGTAACTGAACGTTTACCTTACAATATTACTGTTTCTGTGAATGATCGTCAATGTAAGTTACCTACATTAAACATCCCAACAAAAGCTGGCATCACTCCATGGAGATGCAATGTTCCTATAGATATTACTCAACAAACAGATTTAAGAAATTGTTTACAGAACACATTAAAAATTACATGGTCAGAAGAACCACACGAATATATAGCTGGTGTTTTTGTGGCCCAAAAATTAACTTGGAATGATTTGCTTGAAGAACTCAATAAAAGACCTGTACGTCCCTCTGATAAAACTAAAGAACTCATTAAAAAATCAATGGAAAATGATGCAGATATGGGCGTGGATTCCATGTTTGCTACTGTTAAGGATCCATTAACTAAATTAAGAATGAAACTTCCTGCTCGAGGTGTAGACTGTATACATTTACAGTGTTTTGATGCAATACAATTCTTGCAAATGAATGAACAAAAGCAAACATGGACATGCCCATTATGTAAGAAAAAACTTAAATTTGAAAACATTGAAGTTGATGATTTTTTTTTAAACATGCTTCAAAGTCCAGATTTAAGTGAAGAATGTGAAAATGTTGTTTTATTAAAAGATGGCACATGGTCTGAGAGAAAAAATAGAGAATTTTCAAACCATTCTGGAACAAATGACTGTCGATCTAAAAACAATATAGAAGTATTTACCTTGTCAGATTCAGATGATGATGATGATGATGCAGATAATAGTAGTATTGACCTAGACAATGTTAATGATGATGAGATTATTCCAAAACCAAAACGTTTCAAATATAATCCACCAAAAGTGGAAGAATCTGTGATAAAATCTGAGCATATTGAAGAAACTGAAGATCTAACAAATCCTTCTGAAAGTGACATTGTGTTAGATTTAAGTCTTAAAAATAATTCAACATCAGCTTCAGGTAGTTCAAAGTATAAACCAATTATTACCTTAAATGACGATTCTAATCCATCAACTTCGGCTAGTTCAAATTATGAACCAATTATTACGTTAAATGACGATTCTGATCAGTCAACTTCAGCTCTTTCAAAGTATGAACCAGTTATTATATTAAATGATGAACCTGATCCACCATCATTAATGGAATCAACTTGTATGTTCAATAATCTTTACCTTCCAAATATTGCAATCTCAGGGTCCAACAACTGTGTAGCTAGTGGCTCTAGAAGTAGTAGAGATAATAGACATCAAGAAAAAGATAAATCAAGATCAGTTTTATGTGTTATAACATTAGATTAAGCTAATGTATTTTAGTTCTTACTAATCTTAAAATGTATACAATTTGTTATATTAATAACTCGTTTTTAAAAGCGTAGTACAACTGGTAAATAATACAATTTTTATCAAAACAAATAAATTGTAAATTATCAATACTTTTAATAATGTACATGGTAACTATTGAATTTTTTACTTAACTTAATTTCAATACAGTAATTATTGTAAATAAATCATGTTTTCCTATGTTAATTTATGTATGCAGAATTTCAAATATAAAGGTACCACATTATAGCTTACTTCTGAACATGATTGTAGCTGTGGTAATGATAGCTACTGGATTCTTTCTCATCAGAATATAATATGTTCAATTATTGTTTTTAATAACATTGAGCCATTCATAGTTAAAAGCGTAAGCCCTACTAGAGGGGCTGGGGGCCCAAGACTTGTAATACCCAAAATAAGTTATTGAATTGTTTTGTAAAATATTAGTTATAATTCAACTGCGATTCTTATTTTTTTTTTTTAAGTTAATAACTATTTTGCATTGTCTATGATAAATAAGATAAATAATAAATATCAATAACTGATTGCCTGTATTTGTTTTTAAGAAAACTACTTTTGTCAGTACATTGGTACAATTACTAAACATAATTTTACAGTATATGCATTGAACTACAATATACAAACAGTATATTATTTTTATTGTAAAATATGAAACTTATGTAAATAAATATTTGTTTTTGTATAGTATTTTATATTTTCAAGTGAATCTTTATAGGTGTTGTGGGGTCTAGAGCCCGCCAACATTATAGCTTACGTTCCGCCACTGGTTATAATTTATATTTTATATGTTTGATGGTGATGAAATATTTTATAATTTATTTAGGAACAAACCTAGAGTGGGGGGGAGGGTAAGTATTAGAATTTCATTTGGCAGTAGCCAATTGATCAATTTATTGGATTGAAATATATTAATATTCCAAATTATTTCAAAACTAGAAAAAGAAAATTGAGTATGATTTGATAAACTACAAATAAGTTCAGATTATTTAAACTTAATATTTCTGGGCTGTCGGGGCAGCTTGGGAAGAATCGGTACAACTTAAACGTACCTACAACCTGCCTGGCTGCTTAATACTTATCACTATAATTTCATCAATGTCCCGTTTCTTGGTAATTGGTATTGTTAATTCTAATTGAAAATCTAGTCGTAGATAACTATTATTTTAGAAGTTATAAGCAGTCGTTTAAAATTATCGGTTATATGGAAATCATCAGTACGACAGAACGTTTGCGCGGCACATCAACTCATATTTTATAACTGCTGTTCCGAGCAAAAATAGTCAGCCTATGATGGAGGGGTATGACAACTCTTTTGGAGTCTTGGGGGGGTGCATACCTACCCATCGGTTTTCGGGTAGACCTAACCAGTTGAATGGCAAGTATTGTGGCTCTGGTCGCTATATCAATCAATGTAGGCATATAATAAAAAATGTAATCAACTATTTTGAAAAATAAGAGTCATCAAAATCAATCTTTCCGTGGGCTAATCGAGTTTGTCGTTAAGCAGCTGCTCCTGCTACCACTTGATTGACGAAAGAATGTTTGGCAAATTAAAATTATCATAAAATGTTATCCTGAGATCCATAAGACCAAAATGGACGATCAAAGATTAATAAATGCACTGATCGTCATAAGTTGCGAAAAATACATAACAGCTGATAGTTGGGAATTTTGGATTTCGATGGCTGATGAGCTTGTACGCCAATGAAGCTCCGCCGATTTCAGCTGTGAAGTAGTTTTTAATTAAATTAATTATATTTTATGTAATGTAACAAAAAAAATTGACTCAATTATTGCAATAACTATTATAGTAGATAATTATAATAATTTTGTATAACTTGGATTTATAACAATTAAAATTTATATCTAATTAAAACTTCTGTTATTAATTTTCAAGTTAGAACGTGTATTTAATTCTTCATTACATGTTTGAAATGGTTTTCATAAATAGTTACACTAATTCAGGCACACTGATAGTGTTTTCCCAAATCCCATAATATTGATCAATTTGTATTATTATTTTTATAATAATCTTTTATATTGCGTTTAACCGTTTCGTTAGTTCATATTTATGTTTCACTATATAAAGTAAAGACTAAAGTTTAAATTTTGCAAAGTGATAATTTTCGTATCGTTTTTATTTCGCTTGATTTTATTTATAGCCGTAATATTCTCTTTATATAGAACGCAATAGTCGATAGCGGAGATAAAATTTAGGTTTTAGAATATATTTTATTCAAAGTTAATTCATACTGTTGTCGCGATGTGACAATTAACATCGAATATTCGAATCTAATTAATAAAGGTTATCATGGATATGTCAGTAGCATACAAATCCGAATACACTGCAATTTCTGATGTATTAGATTTTACCATGGCCTATCGCCCATGATGGGTATATGCTAATATACATGTAAGTATACATAGTACATAAGTATAATAAGATTAATTTATGTATTTCGTATGGATTTTGATTCATATATTGTGTACCTGTCAACAATTTGATGATATTTAAGCGATATATGTAAGTACTAACTGTCTAACTATGTCATGTATACAATAATTGTTACCGACTTGAATTTTTTAATTTCATACTTTCTTTGGCCAATCACGCATTCGCGCGCGAAAAATATTTAAAATTTCAAACGTATTTTCCGGTTGCAATTCCGGCATCGGGTTGTAACCACAGAATTCTTACTCTGTGGTTATAACCATGGATAACAAATAGATACTAGATACCCGACCGTCAAAACCACGATTTAAGATATATGCACAGAATATATATGTGATATATATCTTAAATCGTGGTCTAAACATATATTAATGTAGATTGTAGATCTAGCCGCCACTAGATCATGACTTTGTATGGTAATACATTTATAGTATATTATGATCTTAGGGCTAGACTCCCTTTATCATTTAAACCTACTAGTATAATTGGATTTAAAAGACTCTCTGTCTCCTAAAATATTTAATTAGTAGTACTCGATAGACATTATAGTATAAAGTGTTTGGAAAAACTACAGTGTGTTGTAGTGGGTTAGCTGGCTTTATAAAAGTGATTATTAAATATTAATAATGACCAGACCCGGATATAGTCGGCGAGTTACCGAGTTGAACTCGGTGGACCGCTTAACATTTGGGCCGGCTTAGTAGTATGTTTATTATTTTTCTGTGTCAAGTACTTAATATAGAATGTATAATTTATATTGTATGATATATGATATTATTACAATATGGATACCTATTAATGACTTTATTTTAATGAAAAATGGGCCGTTAACATTTTTAGGGCCGGTTAAAATCGTAAAACTCGGTGGGCTGATACCTTGCCTAACCGGCGCTGATAATGACTAGTGAAAAAGGGGTTTGATTTGTTACCAAAACAATATTATTTAATTTGGTAGAGCCAGTAGTAAATTTCTACTTCATAACTCAAACCCTAAGATCATATTGTACAATAAATTAATGATTCAAGCTCAAACTGTAAAAATACACTACTATCACATTGTTATAAGCTACTATGGTCGTGTGGTAAACCAACCGCTTACCAGTTACCAAGACGCCTACCGCCGAATGCACGATTCAGATTTCAGATCAAAATTCGTGATATAACATTCATTTAAAACAATGAGCACGAACAAAACGAACACATAACAATCTCATATATATGTGTAATGAATACACTCTCCGAACAATTATTACCAGAAGCTGCTCTGTTCACGCGTCGGGTTCAGCTGCTGTTGTCACTACTCGTAAATTGAATCGGACGTTGATTGTAGGCTGTAGCGCTGCGGCTAGTACAACTTACAGTAACATAGAATAATAATTTCTCACCCACTCGAAACAAAACGATATCATTGCAACCGCGATCCACTCCGTCATCGAACATTTTTTTTCTACTTGTTCACAGAACTTTGATGTAAGCCGTACGATCAAAATTAAACCGGTAAGCCAGACTTTATACACAACTCGTATATTTTATGCATAATAATATAAAACGCTCAGTCCTGTCTGTTATACTCTGTGATGCGAAACGACAATTTTCTACCAACGATCAATTGACTATAAACAAAAAATACTAACTATTAAATATATTAATCATTGTTCGGTTTTGTCTAAGAATGTGCGCGCGTAGTGTTCAGTGTTGACGTTTTTCGATTAATTTACCCGCTGCGGAAGGCGGAAACCTTGTTGTGACGCCAATTTACAATGACGTTACTGGAGTTTACTGGTTGTGCGCTGACAGCTTTCGGCCCGGCGTTGTCAATGTTCATTGTAACCATCATGAATGATCCTGTACGTGTCATCATATTGATAGCCAGCTCATTTTTCTGGCTGCTCAGTCTACTATTCTCGTCGATAGTATGGTTCGTCTTCCCCAGCAATCAGCAGGTCTGGTTCGGAGTGCTCATATCTGTATTGGTGCAAGAACTCTTCCGTTACTTTCTATATCTGCTGTTACGCAAAGCTGAACGTGGACTCAAACGGTTTGTGGTGCACTCATTGGTGTCCAACAACAAACACATGTTGTCATATGTTTCCGGTTTGGGATTTGGCGTCATGAGCGGCCTATTTGCTTTAATTAACATACTTGCTGAAGTTGGAGGACCAGGAACAATGGGACTCCGTGGTGGATACAGCGCATTTTGTATTGTATCTTCAATTTTCACTGCATTCATCATACTCCTACACATATTTTGGGGAATACTATTTTTCCATGGATTGAACACTGACAATAAAAACTATATTTTGTATGTTGTTATTTCTCACTTAGCTGTATCAGAAATAACATTGCTCAATCAATACTATTTTAATACACTTGCATTGTGTATAGTATTTTTAATAACATTGGGTTCAGGATATTATGCTTTCAAGACTGCAGGTGGGCATTTGCCTATCATTGACAGACTTAAAAATCAAAATACTACAACAGCAGCTGAGAATTGAAAAAATGTATTACTTTTTAAAACAAAATATTTTTTTTTCTATGTTTATATTATATTACATGAACCTAACGTATTGATTTTTGATTATACCTACATCATGAAAATTAAGTTCTTCTAATATTCATCTGAACTTTTAATTAATAAATTATTAATCATTTTATTTATAACAAAACTAGTCTTGTTTGTTTTTTTATACATATTTACCCTGTCCAATTTTGTAGGTAACTGATTATAGTTAAAAAGTTTTACTCAAAAAATTAATTTATTTGTAAAAAAATATATATTATAATATATATGTTACAAATTAATTAACTTATATTCATTAGGTACAAAATTAAATTAATATTTTAATTTAAAAACAATAAACTTAAATAAATTAGGCATAAGGTTAAATAAATTATAAATAATGGTTAATTAACAAGAACAATATTCTTTCTATTATACATGGATGATATGAAGGGTTACATTATCATATGTTAAATGCATATGTTTTTTTTAATACAAATAATATAAAATTATTTATTTTTATATAGAAATTTAAAGATGTAAGTAATCAAAAAACAAGTTTACATTTTAGTTAACAACACATTTTTAAATAAATAAATGTTTGGTTGAATATTATATATAAATCTATCGAATTTGATTAATACTAACTGAGCAAGATGCATTTACAGTTAATATAAATGGTCCTTCTTTACCAGGCAGGTATGTTGAAGGGATTAATTCGTATGTTCCAGGCTGAATATCAGCTAATTCTAAAATCACATATCCTGATCTGAAATCAAAAACGATTTAAAATTGAGGGATAATTTAACTCTTAGTTTTAATGTTATTTACTATTTAGAGGATTCAGAAATACAAAAAAAAATTGTGGTTTATTATGTTGATTTTATAATTTTAATAATTCAATTTTATTCCTAGATTTTTACTGTAATTTAATAAAAATTTCCGTTTTAAAATTTCTCAATATCATTCCCAATTTTATGCTCACTGTTAAAAAGTAAATCCCGAGCATTTATAAAATAATGTATAAGGTACACATAATTGATAATTACAAAATAACATATAATAATTTAAATCTCATTGAAATAAGTTACCTATTAATGTTTTTTATATAATGAATAGATCGGTTATTTACTATTTTGTGTTTAAGTACTATTACAAATTGATTAATTGAAACCATATAAATTGCTTATATTTATTTGTTTTATTATATGTCAAATGAAGCCGAATGTCCAGATCAATGTGTGTATTACATCATCTGCCCAGCTGAGAAGACTATGCCAGAACTTGATCAACAGAAACAACAGTGTTTAGTGGCAATGGAAACGCTTGATCGGTCATCGCCAGAACTTTGGCCTGAACCAATGCCTGGAATGTCCGGTTTTGCACAACATATACGCGCCTCTAGTGCGACTGATAAACAACCATCATGGAAGCAACCACCAGATGCCCATGATATGCTACTTGTACAACGTTATAGTCAGATGCCATTGCCTCCACTCTTAGATGAATTAAAGTCTCTATATGACTTTGCCTATAATTTAGGCTTAGAGGAATCTAAAGAAATGACACGTGGCAAATATTTAAATATATTCACACGTAACACTAATAAATCTAGTGAATAATATTGTAATAATTTATAAAATCTAAAAAAGCATATTTTTAATTTATGGAATCATCTCAAAATTTTTTTAATTTAAGGAATGTGTGTTAACTCAATTAATATTTGATACAATTTAAAATGGTTGTATGTATTAGTTAAAGATAATGTACATTAAAATAAACACTAATATTTTATCAGTTCAAATTTTAAATAATTTAAAAGGTAATAAAGGAATGTTCATTTTATTTTTGATATTAATGTGCAATAAAACATATTAATTTCTAACACATTATACCTAGTGCATACTAACCTGTAGCTTCCAGAAGATTTGCTTTTAAACTTGGCTGTAGCGTTTGTATTATTTAAGCCAACACATGAGATTTCAACTCCAACTTGGTACTGTTTTGGTGCCTTAAGTTCAATTTGTAATTCTTCAGTGTCAGACGATCCATCTACTGTTAATTTGAACTTTGGATTATCACTATAAGTACTATGGTTCAGACATCCACCGGCTCTTATTCCTTTCCATTCACCATTGACAGTCTATATTTAAATTCATAATAATTTTCATTATCATGGTTCAAAATAGGGTTTAATTAAAAAAAAAAATTACTGTTTTGAATTTGGGGTTATACGAGTTACTCAGCTCCTTCATTGTAAAGGGACATGTAGCATATGCCCGTAGTGTATAATTAATTGTATTCATTTTTTCATACTGAGATACGACTAATGTATACTTGGATGGTGTCTCATTATTAATTACAATCTTGCAAAGGTAATGAGGGCTATTGATACGCGTTCCAGATATATATGGTTCAGGATCGTCTATAAAAAATAAGATAAAAAACTTACTAAAATGTTACTATTTCATAATTTATTTGATGAACTATGTACTTGGGTAATGGACACGTTTTCCGTTATTTTTATACACTAAAACACTTATATATTCACGATTTTCTTTGAAATCTTGTAACTCAGTAATGTGTCTAGTTAATAGTATCCAAACAGCACCACTGTTAATATTACCAACATCAAGAAAAAATTGTGGATTTTCAGTTATGTTATATAAATCAGAAATAGGACCTGTTCCAGTATTCCAAGTCCTAAAAATATAAGTAATAAATAAAAAATTAAGTCAATTTAATTTTAAATATAAAAATTATAATATACTTGTGTATGCATGATGTATATGGAAATATTGCTGGATTCCAGTTCATACAAAATACATCAAAATGATGAATTACTGATGTGTAATCTATCCAAAAGATTCCGTTATCAAACGTAGCTGCACTTGTTGGATCATAGTCTAGCTTTTTTCTTAACTGAGGTGTCCAACTCTTTTCATCCAACTCTGAGTAACGTCCTTTCCACCGTACATGAGCCCAAGGATTTTTCAATTTCAACAGCTTTAAATCCTAAAATAGTTTCAAGCAATAATTGTATGGTTGCAATATTAAATCAATTAGTTTGTAATTTATATGGCTTACATTAACTTTTTGCACAGCCAAAACAGCATATGCATGTGAAGAAACAAGACCAGTTCTTCTCTCTTCTTCTGCCGACATAGGCCCAGTAGCAACAGTAATTAATACATCACCCTTACACAATCTTGTATAGAGAGTATCAAACAGACCATCAGCATTAAATGTTTTTTCATCCAAACGAATAGCACAGCGTTCTGGTATCCAGCCAGTTAAAGCATGGAGATCAATATTCTAAAATCAACATACAATGAACAAAAACAAATAATCACTGTTTTTCACTTTACAGTAAGTTAATAACCTTTCAGCAATGATTTTGTAATTCAATGAACTTACACTACTCGATCCTGGAAAATCATAACCTCCCATTACTTTGAGGTATGCTTTTTCTATAAGAGAAACCCAAAATTCATTTTTATTTGATGAATGCGAGCACAATAATGAGTTATACTGGCCGACTGGCAATAGATCATCTATTATTACCTTACGCTGTATACCATTCAGGTGAAATTTTACCATATATTTTCCTAATAATGTAACACCATATTAGTATTATATAGTTCAAAGTTGTCTAAAAAAATACAGCTATTACAATACCAAATGGGTTGTATACAGGTTGTCCATTGTGTTTTTGAGGATAGATAATCGATGTAATCAATCTTTGTTTAAATGTTTTCTCAAACACAGCACACACAGCTAATGATGCAACAAATGAACAGTCAGTTACAATCTACAACAAAAATAATTAAATTTTTCAAACGTTTAATTTTGTTTGTTTTATTGTAGATTGTGTAGAAAATGAAAAATAGGTAGTAAATCATATGTAAAATACTGAGATAAGACTACTAAATTATAAAAGACAAAATAATCTGAACTAAATATTAAATTGTTTAAATAGATATTTTGATCATATTTATAGTTCTATTAGTTATTTATTTCTATTAAAATATTAAAATAAATCATTTTAAATATGTTTGTATCATAATTATTGATGGTTGCTGTTTTGTTTTATAAAATCAATGCTAACACAGTAATACCTATTTAAATACATTACCTCTATTTATTATCATACATTAAATGTTTGTTATTACTGTTTGTTTTATGCTGTAAAAATCTATGGAGTCTCCAACGACCATTTTTGGATCCGAACATAATTGATCTGGTCTTATCCATTGAACAAATTTTTGTTTTTGTTCCGATGATAATGTCAGCAAGCCATCACTGTCAGTGAATGGAATTGATAACTGAAACCTTTTAAAACAAAAATATTGATATTTTGAATTATCAAATATTTATTTTTGCGTAGAAATTAGATTCATAAAAAAAAACTATGGTGATAATTTTAGTTGGTTTTTGATAAATTTTCATAAAATCAAATTTTAAATTCCAAAAAATAACATAAGTACAAATATTGAAGATTTAAAATCATTGTTGATGTACTAGTGCATGAATATTATTAGTCATTACCGACATAATAGTGTATTATAGATTTATTAAATTTACCTCTCTAAAAGATCAACATCCATGAAAGGAACATACTCTTTATTATTAATTTTTGATGTAAACAATAATACTCGTTTCTCTGATTCTGTATAAAGATCACTTTTAGATGTTTCTAATATTTTAGGAGTTCGACTTTCAACAATTTTCTTACGAATTACTGCTGAAAATAATTACACAAATTTATTTATTTAAAAGTTTTACAAATAATTTTATAACAAAATTTAGATTTATATTTTATTATTAGATAGTCCATAAAGCAACATGCACAAGTATAGTAGTATTCACTTAAAAAATTAAATACGCCATGATTTTTTTTAACAATTTTAATTTCATAATGTATAGCATAATTAATTTAGTAAAAAAATCCTGATTATCTGTAAAATCATAGTTTTTGACTAACAAAATGATTATAAAATCAGATAGGTACAACAAATATTTGAGATCAACATTTTTAAATTTAAAAGTCACTCTATCAAAACATGTAATAATCTACCTGAAGGGAACAGTTGATAAAGATTAAAGTAGAAAATTATATGACACTGTGATACAGATTCAACCTCTTCATTTTTGAAATAGAATATAAAATATTAAAATAGTAAAAGGAAAATGTAGATCAAAATAAAATGCTTGTAAGGATTGGTCACTTGTAACGATTTTGTACAACACAATAACTTAACCATTTATCCCTGACAATATATATATACATATAATTTTTATGTATAATATAAATATAATCGATACAGTATTATTATATTTTCTTATATTTTCTTATTTTATTACATAATGTATATTTTTGTAATGTATAAGCTATACATAGGAATATAATATACTAAATAAAAAATGTTAATAACTAATTTGTATTTAAACCTAAAGCGAATAATAAAAATATATTATATTTACAAATAAGGTAGTTCAGAATAATAATTTTTATCTGTTCTAAGATTATTACAAAGGTGAAAAAATGAGTATGACAAGTCACAAAATGATGATCACTATTGTTACTAGTATTATAATTATAGCAAGAGTAAGCATTTTTTGAGCAGATTGCAACCATAAAAAGGAAAACCAATTTTAGAATATCTAATTCTGATGCTGTAGGCCTGTTTAAGTGTCTTAATTCAACTAATACTCTCTCACTGAACACCCCATATGTATTTGTGTTAAACATTATGTGTTCAAAAAATTATATCCGAGACTACTTTCTAAAAATGTAAAAGTTTTAAATTATAAGATGAATCCTGATTTTTAATATTATATTTTATTATGAACACTAAATACTAATGTTATACTGTTTTCGTTAATGAAAACAATATATGCACAGTATTAATGTTCATGTATGTAAATAGCTTATAGTTTTTATTTAAGGAACAAAACATTTTTAGTCAATTGAAACAAATTAATAGAATTTTATCTTATACTAATCCTTGTTCCTATCCCCAATATTTGTGTATGGTTGTATATAAAACCTACAAGTTTATACAACTAATTTCTGAAAATTCAAACTTTTATTTTTTATATAAATATTTATACCTTATGACATTTAAAATATATTTGGTATTTAACAACAAATAAATTATATTTAGTATTTACTAAAAAAATTAGCTTGATTTTTAATCTTACAATCATAACATTAGACAATAATATAATATAATATTTGTTAAGTTATATTATATTATCAAAATACAATATATATTTAAAATTGTACTCATACATAAATGTTTCAACTGATAAATTTTTAATAGTTATAAATTATAAGCTGAACTAATCAAACCATATTTAAGGTGGCACAGTAGTAAATGTTCTTTAAGAGCACAAACAATAAGAAAGAAAATGAAAATTGAAAAATTCTAAAATATTTTAATATATTTGTAAAGAATTGTTTAAGTGGTTATTGTATAATAACAAAATTTAAAATACACTTTTGAACTTTAGGTTAAAATGGTATTAATAGTACATAAACAAAAAAAATGTACTAAAACCAATATATCAGCCTTAAAAACTTACACTTAATGTTAACATGAGCCTTTTTTTAAAACTATCTTTATATAAATGTTATAAAAATGTGATTTGTTATAAAATATAAGCCATTTATTCACAATTTTATTTTAGTGAAAAAAAATGTTATAACAGTAAAATACAGTTTCTGAATAAAAAATAGTATGTATTTTTTAACTAAAACCCAGCAAGTAGTCTGAAGTTTTAAATTTAAGAATGTATAAATTAAATTAGTACATTACTACAAAAACATAAAATAAATTTTACTTAATAGGTAACCTATTTCAATTTTTGAACACCCGTAATAACTTATTAGAATATAGAAAATATACAAATATTATTTAATACAATTTAATTATTTTAATTTGTATTGTGTTATTTTTATAGTATATGACAATGTTTTATAACTTAAAATATAATGGATGGAAAATACTATATTTGAATATTGTTCTATCTATAAATTATTATTTTAAATACATTTATGAACACATAAAAACAAATAATAATGTACCAACAATTAGCACTTTAACCGCCATGTGACCGCCGGTAGTCATCTATAATATTCAAAAGTTGTATACTTTTGTTTCAGCCAGCAATCGTAAATGAACATAGTTTTAAATTATTAACTTTTCTATGGCACAACAATAAAGTACTAAAAAGAGTGCAGTAGTGTTGCGGTTAAAATTACAAATTGTTTGTGTAATAAATATATCATTATTTGTATTTTTTTCAATTATAATAATACATAGAAATTAGGAATGATATGGAAAATATGTTTGGCCTGTCGACAATACATATTGTGTGAACACCAACAATCACATGGCAGTCAATGTGTTAAATATAATTTTTAAGTGATGATTAACATTCAATTTTAACTATCAAAACTATGAGGTAAGTTTAAAATAAATGAGATCTTAGTACAATAATTACTATTTAGTATAAATACTAAATATTTACAGTCTACATTTATATTATTATATCCAAACAAAAACATGGTTTGAATAGGTATAACAATTAACAAGTTATAATCGCCTAAAATAAACTCAAGAACACAAGTATTACATTTAAAATATTCATTAAGAGGATGCCATAACTGCATGCTTTGTCTCCGTCTTACTAACTCATAACATACCAAATAGTATATTATTCATAATAATTAATTTTACTATGTTATGTTTGATTTTAAAGTGAATTGATCTACTACCAAATTTAAATAAAGAATATCTAGTCAATAGCATAGGTTTTTTTTGAATATTTTAATTAAAGTGAGTTATGAGGATTTTAAAATGTACAATTTAGTATTTTAAAATTCTCGCTTTAAAAATTAAAATATAAATTAAAAACCTATGCCACTGACTAGGTAATATTCTTTATTTAAATTTGGAAGTAGATCAATTCACTTTAAAATTAAAGGCAACAGAGTTAAATTAGTTATTAAGAAATCAAAACACATCAATAACTAAGTCATGTATTTGTGAGGAGACAAGGCATGAGGGTATGGTGTCATTTTAACTTGTAAATATGTAAGCAGTAATCTAAATGATAATTCGGAGTTTTTTTAAAAATTAAGTTCAATACAAATTATAAATAAAATTAAGTAATAACTCATAGTATCACATCAAATTAATGAACATTAAAAAATAAGTCATTTTGTATACCATTAAATACGTATACACATCTTCTCATTTTAATACTGGTAACTAAAATATTAACTCAAATAAAGTTTTAATTTTGAAAATTTATAAAAATGAATTTTTATGACAATGACAGTAAAAAAATATAACTACATATTAATAACAATTAAATAAAAAATAAATTATCTAGTTATAATTTAAATCTTTACAATTTGAATATAAAATAATATCTAAATATTCATATTGTAGGAGGAATGGATATTTCTTTCAAAAAGAAATAAATATATTGTTAATAAATTACATGCAATTATGTAAAAGAAACTACTTTACTAAATTACTTCACTCTCATAAGATACCTGTATTATTGGAGCTATTACACAAATTTGACTCCTTTGATTGTTTTAGTTTTTCTGCTCGATCTAAAGCATTTTCAATTAAAGTTGTTAAATTTTTAATCATTTCATCATCTGATATTTCTTTTTTCTAAAACAAACATAGAACATTTTTTCATGTTAGATTTTTAATAATTAATATAACAACAAAAAATTAATGTATACACATTTTGTTGGTTAAAAATCATTTTTAATTACCACTTTTAATGACAATTCAATTGCTTGTGTATACGAATCAATAGCTAAATCCTCTTTTCCTGACTCATCAATATCCAAAGCTTGTTTGAGTAAGTATTTGCATTGTTTTAGCCTTACTTTATCTTGGTTTATACTTTCCATATTATTAGCAGCTTCATTTTGAACTATAAAAGTATAAAACTCAAAATAAGTATTATAAACTATGAATATTGAATTAAAATTAAATAATAATATTAACATGATTGGTCTAAAAAAAAACAAAACAAATTGTTATAGTGTTCGTAATCTAGTAATCAGAAGGTAATAAATCCATGAATTAAAGTTAGTTATTTGTTTGGTTATAATTGTTCTAACAATATCTATTTTTGATCACATAATTAGTTAATACAAAATAACAAAATTACCTATTTACAATTTGCACTTATATTATATATCTTATTAAGTTGAGTTCTAAATAATGGTGAAAGTAACTAATATTATGAACAATAAACACCTTGTTCAGGTACTAATTTAAAATGTCTGAAGAGTGAAATAATTATCAATATTTTTAAACAAAATCATATTTGAATCTTTTAATTACCAAATGCAGAACTGAGATTTTCTGATTAAGTAAGATTAAACGGATGAAGAATTTGTTTAGCTCCCCAAATTCCACAAACAAAAAAGGAAAACAATACATAGGAAGAATATTGAATAATAAAACAAGTAAACAACTTTCTATTTTCCTTTAAATTACTATATTACTAATATTTAGTCACAATTTCAATTCAAACAACTATTTATTTTATTAAGAAGAGCCATGGCCTAAAGACTTCATGTAGTCTGATCACTGGATATATTTCATTTCAAACCAAAAATACTGAAATTTAATAAATAAAAATAATTAGATTCAACTTGAAATATCTGTAAAATGTACTTTGATACATCAAAAAAAAAAATGATTTTTCAATTAATTAATTAATAGGTACTGGTTATTTTTCTTTTACTAATTTGATTTATCCAAATAATAAATGTTTTCTGTTAAATATAATAGAATCTAGGTACTATCTGCAGTGTTGTATGTCCCTAAATTTGCTTGTAGCAATGTGAAAATCAATTTTAAGATTAAAATGGTCAGTCATATGTATAGATAGAAAAGGGTAGTGTAAGCCTCCCCAAATAATGGAATAGCACTCCCAAAATTGAAATAATGTTGTAATACCTATTATTATTGCCCAAATATAAGTGTTGCAAAAAATGTCATACACAAAATCATGCAATACATGGTAAATACTAAAAGAAAAAAATTATTTCTTATATATTTTTATACGGGGTAGTTTGATTCTAAGAAATAACTTACTTTGATATTCCAAGGCTTCAGCTCTATTGGCATAATCGTGTGATTTTTGACACCATTCATTGGCCAGAGGATCATCTTTTCGTATTTTCCAAGCAAGTTCTAAGAGTGTTGCAGCCTCTCTATAATAATAAACGGCGGCTTGCATTTGACCTTTGCAGTCACAGTCTACCGCTTTATTGGACACTACAATGGCTTCTTCGGCGTACTCCATTTTATTTGAACAACTATATTATAATACACCTAACAGTCGTACTAATTTAAATTATACTAATGAGGCTTTGGTTTATGGCCGTCAACATAAAAGTTTCTGGTTGCTGCAGGCAATACAAGTTCGATGCCGTCCAAACACTTGGTCAGAACAATTTGACAACCCAGTCGCGAGTTTTCCTTGAGGAACGGCGCTAGATCTAGTAAATCATCCTCTTTCTCTTCTGATTCGGGAAGCTTGGACAAATAATCATCAGCGACATAACAATGACAGGTCGTGCACGCTAATGACGCTTCACAAGCACCTTCCATTTCGACTCCATGCCTGAAAAAAATCAAAAGTTCTATAATCCTAGAAATGACGTTCATTGTCCACACGACACTTTTGATTCAATACTGCTTACCTGTGGGCCAGATACAGAACGTTGTCACCGACTTTCCCCTTGACTTCTGTGCGCTTGCCGTCCCTGTCTACAAACGCCACTTGGACTACGTCAGCTTCGTTTTCCGGATCCTGCCATTCGTATTCGCCGTGCCACAGGCTCGGGGAGGTGGACACGAACCTGTTCCGGACGGACGGGACCCCGGACCCGGTCAAACAGACACGACTCGACAGGAGGTTGAGGTGACCGTGTCGATTGCAGAACACACCACGCACTAGTTTTGCCACAGTGATGGGCAAAAACATGCTATATCGTATACTGTGTGAACGGACTTCTTGTACTCGCGACGGTAATGACAGCACATGCTAGACGGACGAACTTCGACGCCGGTCGGAACCGAAAGTGTAAAGTGCAGACGGTCGTGCACTATAGAGCAGTTGTTGTTGATAACACTCTGCGCGTGCGCATCAGACAAGCCGAGACGTGAACGACTGCAGCAGGCTGCAGCCAATTCGTAACCGTCTAACCGCGATGACGTCACACTGGGGTATGCTGAATATCGCGATCGCACGATAGTGCTATAATAATAGTTATAATTTATAAATATTAAATAGTAATGGCTGCAATGACAAATTACCTATATAAAACTCTCATCATTCCTCTGGTACGTGGGTGGTTAAGTCTCAAGTGGTTTATCGGTCGTATGAGTCATCGAGTTGGGCACTCGAATACTCGATAATAAGTTGTAAATTAGACCTAGAAAGTTCTTGTCTACTTGAAAAACCATTAAATCGAGTCTGGTGAGACTCGAGTTTTGTGTACTGACTACTGAGTAGTGAGTACTCTCTCTAGTACATTTCAATTTGGTCAGAAGCCCTATCAAAGTCGAAAATTTTTTGTTCAAATTGTTCAGCGTTAGAACTTGGAAGGGTCCAGAAATGATGATTGTTAGGTATCGTTATAGTGTGTTTAACCGTGGTTTATAGTGTGTATACCTTCTTATGTTATGTTACTATGTGAGGTCTGCGGCACTTTTCAGATCGACAGGTGGTAAATGGACAATTCCCCCTTCCTACCCTAGACTTAATTTTCTGTACTGTAAGATTGGGGGAGTAGCTGTTAAATTGGAGGCTTTTAAGCACAGCGCCCTTGCGTAGTGGTTTAATTTAATTTTTAGGTACCTACTGTGATGTATGAACTATGAAGTTCTGAATAAGATACATATAATATCGTAGTGTAAGATCTCGCCATCTCGGTACTAGTCCAAAAATATAATTAATCGTAGTTCGTACATTTCGCGGGCGCCCGAGAATTGGACCACAATTCACCTTTAAAAAAAAAGGTATACGATAATTGGGCCACTAAAATTTTACATTTATAATAGGGAGACCCGAAGATTAGGCTATTATTAAATTTTAAATTTTATAGTAATAATTTTGTAATACGTCATAATATTATTTATTCTATTATTATTTATTTTTAATAAAATTAAAAAAAATATGAAGAAAAAATTATATTTTTATGTATTAGAAAAAAATTATTTCATATTATTTATAACTTGATTAACTTTAAGGATCTTGTTCTCTATTATATTTTGAGTATAAGAAAAAAAGTATTTATTATTATTTATTATTTGACCAATAATTGTATGGACCATGGACCTTGTTTTATATTAAATTTGTTGAATCTGTGTATTGTAAGTATTTGAAATAAATATTATTTAACGAATAGTACTTATATTTGTTAGACAAAAAATAATAATTAGTAAATACTCAATAGTATATTATATATTTACGGGCTATACTTTTATGGCCTAATCTCCGGGTAGGTACACTTTAAAAATACAGATTTAATTTGTGCTCCAATCTCCGGGTAGTAAAATGTAAACAAATATTTTATATAAAGCAGCCAGAAGGTAGTGAAAATGTGGCCCAATTCCCTACAGGCGCCCCATTTCGCAACTAGGTACTCATTGATATAAAATATAGTTTAAGAGGACACTTGTCTAGATACCACTACATGTATTGTCATTCAAGAGCAACCATCAATCAAAACCAAGGGGGGAGGGGAGTGACAATATCACAAAAAAAAAAAACTCAGAAAATGAGTAAGAACCAATAAAATTGCTTTTAAACAATAACAGAAAATAGATATATAACATAAATAAACGTGAAAATAGATTATTATTTGCAATCAAGACAAATTTCTATCATTTCACATGTGACTATAGGCAGGTGAAATGTCACCCCCTTGCACCTGCTCACGGACGCCTTTGTTGTCATTTGTCTCCGTCTTACAAAGTTATGGCATACCAAATTTTTTACCAACCGATTGTAATTGTTGTATGCAATTTAAATATAAAATATTTTATGTAACGAGTAGTATATAATTTTGTTACTTTTCAAAAGTAATTTATCTAACATATTGGTATTAATGTGCACTACAGTGTTCGTTTACACTTGGCGTGTACAATCTAAGATTTCTTTTGAGATCCAAAATTGTAAATAGGTACCTACTATAATAAGTTTGAAATTTAAAAGAAATTTTATAAACAGCTCATATGAAAAATATAGGTTTATTGAAAAATTATATACTAAATTTAATACTAGGCGATCCCGATTTTTCGAAAATTCATAAATTTCAGTATTTAACCTAACGGAGTGACGACCGCTATGTTTTGATACATATAACCTATCAAAAGTATACAATTGTCTATATTGAAATTTATAACTATCTGTCTACATTATAATTTATAGTAATATAGTACCATATTAATTACCTATCGACGATTAATTTGAATTTTCAGATTTATCATTTCAACCTGACTTCAACTTATGTACTTAAAAAAAAAAAATTAGTCGAGTTTGAGTACCTACATAGACTGATGATAACCTATTGAAATTTTAAAACACTAATTTAAAAAAAAAATTAGTTTCCTTTTTACTTTTTTAAAAACATTTCATACAATAAAATGGTAAAATATTTTTGTTAGTTGAAATTATATTATTATAAAAATGTATTCGAACAGTTCGTAATTATTTTGTTCTCGTGGTCGAGAGTTTGTAGCCATAGTTATTATAGATAAATAATTTTATTTCTCTCGAAGTGTCGAAACTGATGTTTTTTCAGCACAGCTGCAAGACGTGATAATACGAAAATGTTCTACAGATAACCATTAACCATTTTCTAGTGTCATAATTTCACAGAGAATATCTCGCGAGTTCCGATTTTTGAGTTTAAATTTTCCTATTCAATTTTAATTGAAGATGGCATCCAGACGCATAACTCAATCTTCTGTGAACTGGGCTGCAATTGCTGAACGAGTTCCGGAAGCAGACAAAGCGTCTTACTTGGCGTTTAAAGCCAAGTCTGATGGATATCTTCGCAAGTATGTTGAGGTCATTTAAAGGCCACACGCCCGGTGTTAAAACGATTTTTATTAACTTAAATATTTTGCAAAACTATTTTATGTATTGTTCTAATTTGTTTAATAAATGCTTTCAGAATGTTGGCCTCCCCAGCTGAACCATTGAAAATCGATTGGGCGGCATATAGAAATAAAGTGGCCGTACCTGGGTTGGTCGACAATTTTGAGAAATTGTACAGTGCAATTAAAATTCCATACCCTGAGGATAAGTACACTCCAGCTATCGATAAACACGAAAAGGAAATTGTAATTTATTTTTTATGTTACTTACCTACACTATTGATAATATTAGCGTATCTAAATATTTGTGAAATATACCGTTTTTAATTATTAGATTAAGGGTATTGAAGAATTCAAAGCTGAATCGGCAGTGATAATCAAAGAAGCTGAAAAAAGGATTGCAGAAATCAACAGTTTGCTGCCATTCGGCCAAATGACCTATGAAGATGCCGCTTATATTCAACCGGAATTATCATTGGACTTGGAGAACAAACCATCCTTCTGGCCGCATCAAGAGATTGATTACATTAATGATGAACCAGAAGCAGACAGTCCACAAATTGAAGAACAGAAAAAAATTGATGCAGCTCATTAAATAAACCAAAAATGGTTCATACTTCATAGTTTTCAGTTCTAATTTTACATCATGGTTTTTCCCATAAACACTTAGAAACATATTTATATACCTATATGAATTTATGGTTAAAATTTTAGATTTTTTTTTCATGTTTTATTCAAAATTCTGTTACACATTAATTTTGTAAGGACAAAAGTATAATAACATCGCTTCATACTGTATAACATAATGTTGAATAAATTATAAACATTACATAATTTCCAACTATTATTTTATTTATATTCTATTGATATAGGTAGAATTATGGTTGATATTGATTAATAATTAAAATTTAGTTTTGCATCTTGATGTTACAAATAATGTATAGCCAATTAATATAAATACCGACATTAATATTTGCCGTCTCATACTCCATATTTAAAATAATTTTACAATGGGACAATGCAATCTTATGAGTTACAGTTGTGAAGAAAATTAATCATGTCATATTATTACACAGTTATGGGGATCGGTGGTGGACAGTTTTTAAGGAGTTCGAAATAGGCAATTTTCAAATTGCATACATGCGGGTCTTTTAAATGTGTGCGTAGTAAGTGATGATTAGTGTGTGTGACTATGTGTAAAAGAAATAGCGGAGCATTCTCGAATGAGCAAGTACAAGTCATCCACATGGCGTTGCACTAGTAATCGGTAAATAATTTATGCTCATTTGTATGCACTTTTTGTCCATCCTACCAATCAACTTAATAATGCTAAAATATTTTAGAAAATTGATCTGAGTTCTTTACAATGTCTACATGGGATCGGTCAGTCCACATTTTAAGATTTCTGAATTAAATTCCATAATTTCAAAATATTCATACTACATTTATAGTTTTTATTGGGGGGGAGAGATGAAATTGGAGAAAGTAGACTGACCAATCTCAAGTAGACATAATAACAAATTAAAATCATCTCTAAAAAGATTTATCGTATTGCTAGGTCGATAAGTGTGATGGACAAACGATTGATATGTTTTGGCTAAAATAACTGTCCGCCACCAATCCCCAGAGAATTAGTCAGTCAAGTAATTATGTCATAATGATATAATAACAATTAACAACTGACTGTTGCCGGTTCAGACTTAACATTATTTATTTTAAATTTCCAACAACACTTATAATCCAAGAAACACTAAGCCTGAGAACATTATATTGTTCAAAGCAGAATTAGGGAAAATTAATCAAAGGATGAATCCTTAATAATATGCAGTACAATGCCCATGGTGAAATTAACAAAAAAAAAAATCGAGTGTAATTAAAAATTTAAAACTTAAATTTGCATATCAGGAATAATACCTATACTATAATAAATTTGTTGTTTTCTTAAATTTCCAATCATACAAACATTTCAAAATGCTATGTTATGTTTTTGTTATAGAATCAAATATCAATAATTAGTAATACATATTTTGTATACAGATGACAAATTGAATATACAGAATTATCTGTATTAGAAGTTTT